CCAAATCTTCCCAAAAACTACTCCAATGTGTGAAGAAGCAGATTCTCTCCCAGCTGAACTTCGTATTGCTACTCCCAGATTTCTAAACCATGGGCACTGTGACATTCTAACATATATTGATTTGAGCCATAGGTTTTGTGATAATTTCTTACACAACAATGGATAACACACTATGCCACAACTGAGTATCACATATTCTTTCAAAAAATTTTAATGTTATGATATGTGGCACTTTGTAAACTGTGTGGCTTTAGGCCATCCATATCTTTTTTTTTTTTTTTTTTTTTTTTGTTTTTACAAGACAGGGTTTCTCTGTATTGTTTTGGAGGCTGTCGGTCCAGCCTGGCCTCGAACTCACAGAGATCCACCTGCCTCTGCCTCCCAAGTGCTGGGATTAAAGGCGTGCACCATCACCGCCCAGCAGGCCATCCATATCTTCTTTTGTCTGAGTAAGAAAGTAGTATCAGCATTTGCCCATCACTTTTACATTTTGCTTATATGATTCTTAAGTATATTTTGGAAAATTATGAGTCTTTTCTTATATGATTTTTAGCATCTACATTTTCCCTCTTGAAAATGAATGGCAGAGTGTAAGAATGATGTCTACTATTGACATTCTGAAAGAAAACTGCTTACATTTCCTTTTAAAATGCAACTTTTCAATGGAATTTAAATGTCTTACATGATAAAATATTCTTGATATTGATATGAATATACATCAAGTTTTAAAATTGAAATAGAATACATAAAGCATTAAAACTCATTTTTGCAAGAAATGAATTTTTTGAAAGTAGTATATGAACATTTTAAATAAAATGGATTTTCAGATATAGTACTGACTTATCATTTCAAAGAGAGTCATGAAATCTCTTACAAAGCAAATTCTAATGACAATCCTCTAATAAACAAATGTGTAAATTTCCTTTGTTGGTTACTGATATTTCCCTATCGGTTTGATGTAAAATTTTAATTGTACACTACTACAAAAGCATATACATTCAGTAGAAAATGTACTTTGAATTGCCACCTTTTCTGGGGCTGGTGATTTGCAGTACAGTATTCCTACAAGATACTGGCAGGGACAGAGCTATAGCTCGCTGACAATTTGGCATCATCAGATAAACAACCTAGACTCTGAAGTATGCTGTGTTGCTGAGCTATAACATTTGCTAAGTTAGGTGGACTTCAATTTACAATATTTTCAATTTCTGGGCTACCAGGACATAATCATATTGTAAGTTAAGGGGCATTTGCATCCAGCTTTCTTGAGATAGGATATATATAATGCCCACTACCCATTGTAAACTTTATTTTTGAATCCTTAAATGAATTTAAAATATGTAAATCTGTCAATTAAAAAACACTATAGAAGAATACATTTTTATTTATCAACTCATAAAACTTTTTCATTTTAAATTAAAATATTAGGATTAGTTATGAAACAGATATGAAATAAGGAAGAACAATCAATATTCTATACATGAGTTTCTAATTTATAGTTAAATAAAACTAAAATATCCCAATGCAAATTACACGTATCCAAAATACTTGGTGCCTGGATACTTCAGACTTGCTAGCATACTTAAGATTTAAGAGCATTTCAAGATTTTCATATTAGTTGATGCTTATCCTGTACAATATTAATTCTTCAGTATTCTCAGAAAGCTTATCTGCTCTCTCCCTGCTAACCTAATACATATCATCTCATGTAGCAGTACACAGGTATGGCACAGTGTGCCCATCCTTCTTTCCACAGTAATCTCAAAGGGGCTTGCATATTAAGAATGCAACAGAACAGAATGCATCTACAGTAATTACTTATAAATGTTTACACCTGTTTGTTTATTCACTCACATAAGATAGCCAAGGAATAAGAAGCCTCACTGTCAAATTGTTAGAAGTGTATTCATATAAAATCTTTAGGTATAAGATGTAACTCAGTGGTTTATAAAACCACAGTATTCTTGTGGTTCAAATTAGAAATTTCTAAACAACAGCCCCTTGCAGAGCCCACGGCATAGAAGACCCTCAAAGGTCTAGGACATGAGTAAATAAATATCAAAGTGCCTGTCTACAAGTGCTTTAAAAGAAAGACTGTATGAAAAAGGAAATCAATGACAACAACAACAAAAAAAACTTCATAAGAGTATTATTAAAATTTCCTCAAGTGAGATACTTGTAAAGTTCATTGAGTCTGGGTCATGAAAAGCTCTTTGTAATTGTGGTTACGTTTGAATGTAAGTTTGGTCCACAATGATCTTTACAGATGCATCAATATGAATTCAGCTACTAGGGAGGACACACTGCATCATCTTTTTAAGAGAAAGGAGGCCTGCTCAGATGTAAAATCCAAACCTGTAAAACAGGCCTCCATTCTTTCGCTTATGAAGATGATTAAGACTTGCTTGGTAACACTTTACTACACAATGAAGTAAGGCTAGGGATACAGCTCAGGCGATAAGTGTTTACTTAGCATGCCTAAGGCTCTGAGTTTGATCTCCAGTAGCATAAACTGGTGTGGGATATACACCAATAATCTCAACATTCAGGAGATGGAGGCAGAAGAATCAGCCATTCTCATCTAGTTTGAGGACAGACTAGCACACATAAGGCCTTATCTAAAAGGTTTAAGCCCACAAATAAAGCCTTAAGGTTTATCCTGCCACAACAAATCAGTATTTATAACATTTATAACTCCTATATACTATAAAATTATAACTTACAGAGAACTATTAGTAAGATTCATGTTGGATTACATTTAAAAAGGAACACTAAAAAGAAAACATCAAAATCCCAATGGGTAAAGGCTGAAGACATAACTTAGAGGTTAAGAGCACAGACTGCTCTTGCAGAGAGCCCAGATTTGGTGCCCAGCAGCTACATGGTAGCTTACAATCATCTGTAACTCCAATTCCTGGATCCCACACGTGTTGCTGCATATAAATTCATGCAAGCATATATGAGCGCACACAAACAAAACACTTCACTCATACTGAATATACTGAAGCAGACTGTGACACAGGAAACTACTAAAAATGTTTTGGATTGGGCAGGAGAGATGGCTCAGCCATTAAAGGCCAGGATCACAACCAAAAATATAAAAATGTTCAGATTTATTCTCTTACACTTTGCTGACCACAACAGAGATGAAGACTGAGGTAGTTTGAAAATTCTGAGAAGTTTAAACCAGATTCTATTCTTCACATTCTCTAAAGGCGTTAGCTTTAGGTCGTGCGAAGTGCCCTCACCCTCAATTCCAGAGACCAAGAACAACACTGCTGCAATGGAAGAGTAGAGCAGTTAGGATTAAGAGGGAGATTGCTTTCTTCAATGAAAGTAGCCAGCACACCTACTTGTTCACAATTCTACTCCTTTGTGGAGTTTTTGATAAAACTTACAGATGTTTAAGATGAAAAGTCATTTCAAACATATTTGGGACATTCTCCATTTCAAGTAAATGTAAAGTCTCTGGCAAACTTACTAAAATTATCTACTTACCAAATTATAATACAAAATGTGCTTATGAAATCTAATAGGAAAACTGTAAGATAATTTGTGTTGCAAATAAGTTCTAAGACAGAACATATGTGCTAAATAACAGTAATTGTCAAACGACATAAACATAACTGTATTAAAGAGTGTTCCTAAAGACATGATCATATCAAAGTAATTAACAAAAGCAAAACAGAAAAAACAGGTCGGGTGGTGGTGTGCATGCCTTTAATCCCAACAGAGGCAGGTATCTAGATCGAGTTACAGGACAGCAAAGGCTATACAGAGAAACCCTGCCTTGAGGAAAAAGCAAACAAACAAACAAAACCCAAAAACAAAAGCTTCAAACCCATTCACAGGAGGTTCAAAGGAGTGACTCCTTAAATAAATTTGGATAAATTGGTCATTGCTGTAATTATGCTATGCTTTTACTTCTTATTAGAGACAATTCATTAATAACCAACCATAAAGTAATATGTTACTTTTTCACATAAGGATATTTTTTTCCCAAACTCATCACTATCCAAAAGAACCCAAATGCAGGAAGATTCAGGAGAAAAATCAAATGCATCTTCATAACTCTATTATGTCTGAAGCTGAATAAATATTCCTACACAAGATGACAGTCATAGTATCGTTCACCCACACCTCAACTGCTGGATGTAAAAATCTAAACTCAGACTGCATCTGCTCTCTCACATTCCGTTTTCTGTCATCCCTACATGGTTTCAGTACTTTTCCCAAGGAAATGCCTACTTTATGTGATTTCTTTCTAATATTATATAACTAAGACAAGGAAAGTATTTTTAAAGCAATGAAAACATTCCCCTCAAAAATTAAAATGGAACAAAACCTCTAAATATGAAGAATACCCAAACGTTATTGCGAAGCTGACTTAAAATGTCATCAGAGAACGTTCAAGGAAACTGGGTGAGGTGGCTTACACCTGTAATTGAAGTATTCATGAAGCTAAGGAAAGAAGATGGTGGCATGTTCAAGGTAAGCCTAAGTTATATAGCAAATCTCTGCCTTACAAAGAAAACCAAACAGAAACCCTCTTTCTTTGTTTTAAACTTAAACAGGTTGACAAAACTATGAGAGACACTAAATGAAGTGTGGACAAATAGAACAAGGACTCCCCGCCTCTACACACATGGTATTGTTAAAATTTTTCTTCCCTTTTATTATGTTCAATGTGAGTCATCACTAATACATAGTTTAATGAAATAATCAAGATGTGCTAAAATTATAGCAATTGATTTTTAAGCAAAATAAGTAATCAGTGGTTAAAAATATATACTGCCTAAATGTTAAAATTTGTATGGTACAGAGCTTAATTCATTTTGTTTGAATAAATAGGAAGTTTTATTGCCCAACTAAGACATCAAATAGCAAATGTAGGTCTTTCTAAGAAATAGTTCAATGTTTTAGAAGTACAAAGAAATGTGACAGTTAATGTTATTTTAAGTATTATTTGCAATTCACACATTACTAAATATGTGTGTTACCTCAACAATATCCGAGTTTGTTCTGCTTTCATGAGGCTCATTATACTCTGTGTACTTGAGAAGAACTTTGTCCATGTCAGTGCTGGCATACTGAAATAGCTTGTTAGAGCTGTTGAAAATGATGAGTGCTATTTCACAGTCACACAGCACACTGAGTTCATAGGCTTTCTTCATCAAACCAAACTTTCTCTTTGTAAAAGTGACCTAGACAAAAAAAAAAAACAGAATTTTTTATTAAAAGTTACTCCTTAATAATGAGTCTTTTATACTGAGCCAGAGTTCAAAGGTAAAAGGTTCCTAGCTTCATGCTCCACACAATCCTCCCCTCCATTTTGCCACAGCATTACAGTCCTGTATTTATTGTGTATGCCCAAGGGCTCTGAAAGAGAGGTATTATTTTCTCTTACCCTTGGCTGTGACTACACTACAGAAGGCAAGGGAATAGGTTTAAGTAGTAGTTCTTATATTTCAGTTTAAATTGGTACCATCAGAAACCAATCTCTCTTAGCTTTCAGCTCCTAATGATGAATTAAAACTGTTAACTTATGCTTCTCTTCCCTGCCAAGTCTTTTTACTGTCTCCACTAAAATTCAGTCTAAAACCAGCAAAATTACGATGATGTCATCAATCTTTCTTACTATTTCTCTAATTAAAACCTGCTAACTGAGGTAGTTCAGAGACCAAAACATTTTTTCATGGTTTAAAACAATATATCCCTTATTCTAAAAGTTCCTGGAAAAGAAGTCTTTTTCTCCCTATCTTCTCTTCTTTCCCTTCAAAATTCTCAGGTATTGAGAACTCTCAAGCGCCTACCATGAAATCAGACCATTGGTAACCCTCCTGGAGGTAAGCACAAAGTGACATTTAATCCTGTAACTTTCCCTCAAGCAGTACCACCTGATTGCTTTTCCAAGTCCTGCTCCTAATCACCAGAGTCACATCCTCAATGCTACCAATAATCATTATCACCTAAAATTCTCAATGTCAGAGTTCTCTCTGATGATTTCTTGTTCAGCTCTTTTATCTTTATATCATCTCTCCAGATATTCTTTTTACCTTATCAAGTCCTCAGGTCCATTTACCTTACCAATTTGCTAATGTAGGTCAAGTAATACTCATTCGAATGTGTTTCAGATCTGTGTATTTCTGGAATGTCTGCTTGTTCACAGTGAGTTAGTTATCCTGAAGACAGGACCTTGAACTAGACATACAGTGAACTTACCTTACATATATACCTCATGTACACAAGCTGAAGGCAATTTCACATATTGTCTTTCATGTATCTACATTTTGACTACAACACATTACATACATTAGGGTGTGAGATTTTTCTACTGTGGCATTGTGTTAGAACCCAAAAAGTTTCAGACTTTGGAGACATTTGGGATATTTGGAATTTTCAGATTAGAGATGCATAACTGTATCTCTTTTCACATCTTTTATTTACTCTTCAGGTTTGATGGTCTATTATAGTCTGACCCTTCAAATATAAATAAATCCTCTTCTCTTCTCTCATTACTATAGTTGCCTGACACAGCCTCAAGCAAGAACTAACTTTCTAACATATACCCAGTTATCAACAAATACACATGAACACACCTAGTAACTCTGAGACACAAATCAGCAATGATGCCTAACACTCCTAATTTCATGTTTATTACGTTATCATCTTGTCTCCTACAACTTCAATCTCCTCCAAAAACTACTTCACACGAGAGGAGGGGGGAAAAAGAAGAGGAAGAGGAGGAGGAGGAAGAGTAGTAGTAGTAGTAGTTGTTGTTGTTTTTAGTTGCTTCATACTAACCCTAACCCTACTCATTCTTGCATGCCTCTCTTCTCAGCAGACTTTATCCCACTCTGCAGATCAAATACTGCAATCATGAAAATATACCCTGTCATTTCTTCCAACTCCACCTTGTCATTCCAGTCTAAGCCCTCTCTATGTGCTTTGAAATAAAAACACCTGAAAAAAAATTTCTAAGTGATCTTGAATCTGTGAGATTAAAGTCAACAATCACTGGCTATCTTACTTTACAGCTCAGCAATGTCTGACAAAATTGTGCTCTTTAATTAAACATTTCTACACCCACTGTTTATGAACTACACTCACTGCTTCCTCTCAGCCTTTACCTCCACCGTCCTCTGCTCACGTACTCACATATCAGACTTCATGTGTTTAGGTGCCTGTAGGCTTTCTAACAGGGTTCCTTCCCCTTTTATCCTCACACATTTGACTAGTGGTTGTATCATGATTTTAAAAGCAAAAACTGAGTTCTTTCCATTCTTAGCTGTTTCAATAGCTGTATTATCATCATTCAAATAACAAAAGCAAAACCGATGTAAAGACTTGTGCTGGCTCCTATTTAATAATCCACACCATCAACAAACTGCTGGCTTTACCTCTAAAATACACCTTGTCTATCTGTATCACTATCACTCAAATTTCATCTCTCATCTACATTGTTCATGTAATCATCTTATTGGATTTCCCAACTCATCCTAACACGCCATAATTGCCAAGTAACTTCCAAACTGTAATGCTCAGCCTGTTTAAGTGAGAGCTAGGTGTTTTTCACTGCAGTTAAAACAGTATCAAACTCATTCAGCACACAGTAGAAACAATCTATTCTCTGCTTCTTGCTTGACTTCATTGCCCACCCATCTCCCTTGTACTCATTAAATGACACGGGCACAGGTATGTACACACATGTGTGTTCTTTACACTTTAGGAACTTCATTATGTTCTCTGCCTGAGGAGTACATATTAAAGCACATCTACCTAGTGGCTGCTTCCTTTGCCTTAAAAAAAAATCAACTGTTTAATTTTTTTAAATAGTCCTTATATAAATACACATTTAACCTGTTGCCCACAGTTTCCCTTTTATATTTCTGTTTGAGGTCATAAACATATACATATGTTTGCACAAACATATAAGGAATTCTGCTATCCAACAAAACTATTGCTAAGTTAGAGGGTAATAGCTCTATGGTATTCTCAAACAATTTCATATTTCATACTAATGTAATTACTCCTTTTAATCTTTGTTAATGATAGCTATGAATAATAATCTTTTCAGTGTGTATTTAACGCACTAATTTGTAATAACTCGGCAATCTCTTTTATCTGTTTTCACCTGGGATTTCCTTTCTCTATAAAGTAATTTATCTTTTATCACTTTCCTATTATATAATTTACCCTGTACTTATCTAAAATACTCTTAGGCAAATAAACTTACTGCTTTACAAATGCCTTTAAATTTTTTTCGTGTATATATTAACTGTATGTACTATTGTCATTGAAAAGATTTGTTGTTTCTGTTGTTGCTGGCTTTTTGCATTTCAATAAAACGAACTTTATTATTTACTTTTCAAGCAAAAGGAATGGCTTACAAGCAAGTGCAGACATGGACTGAGCGGGTGGGCATGGCCTGAAGCTTACAGAGGAGTTGCTGTGTCATAACAGAGACAGCAGATCAGAAGAAACAAACAGTGATGTCTTTTCTGCTTATGGAGTCTGAAGATGCAAAGCTAACTGCTGAGTTATCAGGAAGAGAGAAAGACTGAAATGGTTTCTGGAGAACTAGGTAGGCTATGCAGGTTGAAAACTGGCATCAACTCAGTCTTCTTATTTCCCCCCATTTTCTATAATTTTCCTCTTCTTGTCTTTTCTTAAAGATATTATTTTGGTAAAACTGAAGCTGTCTGATGCTTTCACTAATGTCATCAAGTGCCCTGTGAGAAGCAGCTGTCTTTGGAGCAAATTCATACTCTTCTGGATACCAGCATCTGCACAGCTCCTTAACAGTGCTCACACCAATTATCCTATAATGAACTGGGACATGTATTTATCAGGAAATTTCTTATCTGCATAAATTGCAAGTAGACAGAGCCCTGGAGGCTGTAGTACAAAGGACAGAAATTTATACTCTGCCTGCTGCAGAGTAATTGTACTCTCCCTCACTGCCTTGGCAAGACCTGACTCCTATGATGCTCCTTGCACCACTCTGACATGCTTTCCTGAAATTCCTCCAGCTGTTTGATAATAAGGTTGAGACCTTCAGCCAAAATGTTGAGATCAGAGTCAGTTATCAGACAGGCCATCTCAATCATCTGATCCTTCTCAATGTCCAACCCTGTCATCTCCAGGTCCACCCAGACCATCCACTGAGCCATGCTCTTCCCTTGCTGCTATGGCTGTGCCACCTTCACTGCCACCTCACTCACATAGGTGCCTGTGCCTGCCACCTATGCCCCACAATAGCTGGGGTCCAGGGATAGGCCTAGCATCACCGAGCATAGCCATCATGGCCCCAGTCCCACTAGCACACACCTGTTGTTTTTTTTTTTTTTTAAAGCAGGGTCTCACTATATAGTTCCAGCTGGCGTGGAACTCACTTTGTAGACCAGGCTGTCTTCCAACTCACAGAGACCAGCCTGCTTCTACCTCCCAAGAGCTAGGATAAAAGGCATGTACCATCATGCCCAACCCCATTTTTATTACAGACTTAATGAATACAGGTTTTCTGAATCCTGGTATTATAATAGTATACCTTTATTAAATATACAATCTCAAAAATAATAAAATATATATGGTACTGAAACAGTTAAAATTAAACTACTTGTGACTTGACATACCTAGATATACTAGATACAATGGAATTTTGAACTCCACATATATTTTCAAAATCAATATGGTAGTGTTTAAGATGAGGCAAATAATGTGTCTTCAAGTTATGATCTAGGGAAGCTTAAAGAAAATTCTTCCTCTAAAATGTTCATCATCAGTATAAGGAATAATCTCTGCTGCTCTTTTTACTGTGTGTGTGTGTGTGTGTGTGTGTGTGTGTGTGTGTGTGTGTGTGCATGCAAGCATACCTACACAAGGGTTTATACAGCTGTGGAGGCCAGAAGTCAATGTCAGGTATCCTCTTCTAAACATTTCCATCTTATTTTTTTAAGATTTATGTTTAATTACATGAATGTGTTTGTGTCTGTATGGGGGGCATGTGCACATGAATGTAGTACCTGGAGGCCAGGTGAGGGTGTCAGATCAGATCCCTTGGATCTGGACTCATAGGTTACTAATATCTGGTGCCAAGAACCAAACTCAGTAAGTAGGACTTTTTAAACCACTGAGCCGTTTTGTCCAGCCATCTCCACTACCCTTTGTGAGTGTAAGCCACACGTATGTCAGGATGCCCACA